AGGCTGCAAAACCCATGTGGTTTTTTTGATGGATTTTGACAAGAGTCCTTCGATGTTTGTGTTTTCTGAATTCTAACTAGAGACTGAATGGTTTGTTACACCATTACAAGAATCAAGTGGTTTTCAAATGTGTATAGGAGCTCTGGTGGCATAGTGCCTAAGGCATTTGACTGCTAACCAGAAGGCTGGCGGTTCAAACTCACCAGCCACTCCTCAGAAGGAAGGTTGGGCAATCTACTTCCCTAGTGATACTGCCTTGGAAACCCAAGGAGGGGTCACTATGAGTCAGATCTGACTCGACAGCAGTGTGTTTGCGTTACTATAAAATATAAATTAATGTAAAGGCGCTCCTGGATCTAGAGTCACTTATGGTGACTTTTGTTGTTAAAATACAGTTTTCAGAAAAGTGAAACCATGACTCTCAGGCAGATGTAAAATGAACATATATCAAAGATTTAATTTAACTCATTAATGGGGAACTGGGTGTTATAGGGGTTCAAAGAACGTTAAAGACAATTGACAAATATTAGGATGAGATTGCTGGGTAGACATCAAATGTTTAACCTCCATCAGTACCATGCATCCTTAGGTGATTGGTTCCACTGGATAGAAACTTTTGGCATGTATATTAACGCGTAACTTTATTATGTTTGACGCTTAATAAGTAGTAAATAGTGAGATGAACTAAGTTTGCTCCTGTAGACCAGGGGCTGGCAAATGTTTTCTGTAAAGGACTAGGTAATAAATGTTTTCATAGGCTTTGTAGGCCATAGACATGTCTCACGTTCTCCAACTTCTTGTTCTTGTCATCCTCCTCCACCTTGGCAGTACAGTTACAGACCAGACTTTGGCCTCATGGTTTGCCGATCCTTACCCTTGATAATTCCTTGGGTGACCTTTGCCTTCCAAGTTGTGTATAATTTTTCTGACAGTGCTCTTTCTCAATGAACAAAATCAAAGAATGTAATTGGTATCATTTGGGGTCAAAAAAAACAAAACCAGACCCACTGCCATCGACTCAGTTCCAACTCATGGAAACCCTCTTTGGGTTTCCAAGGCTATAAATATTTACAGAAGTAGATTGCATCATCTTCTTCCTGCAGAGCTGCTGGTGGATTTGAACCACGGACCTTCTGGTTAGCAACCAAATGATTTACCTACTCTGCCACCATAGCTCCATATGATGTGGGGTGGTGCTGGTAAAATTTTTGATGTTAAAATTTCTTCATATTATAGAAAGGCTGAGAACATTTTCCTAGAGTTTAAGAAAAGGATAAGGTTTGTTGGGAGAGCAGAATAGGAATAAAGGACTGTAGTTTCAGAGATAATTTAATTCTGGCTATTTAAGGGAGCATTATTCACTACATGGGGAGCTCTAGTGGCATAGTGCCTAATGCATTTGACTGCTGACCAGTTTAAACCCAACAGCCACTCCTCCGAAGTAAGGTTGGACAATCTACTTCCATAGTAATACTGCCTCGGAAACCCAAGGAGGGGTCACTATGAGTCATATTTGACTTGACGGCAGGGAGTTTGGTTTGGTTTGGTTTAATTCACTATATGCAGGACATAGTGGTGTAGGCAGTTTTCTCCAGCTCTTCTGGGTACTTTGAAAGTTTCTGTGCTGAAAGTCAAAATTTTTGAAATGATTTACCTTGCCCCAAACAATCTTTCCTATTTCTATAAAAAGGGGTCTCTCTAATTTTTTTGGATTGTGTGTGATCGTGCTTTTTTTTTTTTTTTAAGAGGACCTCAGGATCTCAGAATTATTAGCAGTCACTTCCCTGTCTGGTTTCTTCACCCTTGACTTTCTCTTTGGAAACAAATATAAATTGAGCCTTCTCACCTGCTGAAGTTTTGCAAATGTGTTGATTGACAGAAGTTCTCTCTTTTGCTGTTGGGTCCTAGCAGCAGGTCTTGAATAGTGCATGGGGTAGTTGTTTATGTTGATTGTTGTTAAGTTGTTAGGTGCTGTTGAGTTGTCTCTGACTCATAGCAACCCCATGCACAGCAGAATGGAACACTGCCTGGTCCCGTGCCAGCTCCATGATCCTTGCTATACTTGAGCTCATCACCGCAGCCCCTGTGTCAATCCATCTCATTGAGGGCCTTCCCTGCTTTTGTCAACCCTCCACCTTACCAAGTATGATATCCTTCTCCAGGGAATGGTCCCTTACAACATGACCAAAGTAGGTGAGATGAAATCTGGCCATTCTCGCTTCCAAGGAGCATTCTGGCAGCACTTCCTCCAGGACAGCTCTGTTAGTTCTTTTAGCAGTCCACGGTACTTTCAGCATTCTTCGCCAGCACCACAACTCAAAAGCATCAAGTCTTCTTTGGTCTTCCTAATTCATTGTCCGGCTGTCACATGCATATGAGGCAATTGAAAATATCATGGCTTATGTCAGGCCACCTTAGTCCTCAAGGAGGCATCTTTGTTCCTCAGCACTTGAAAGAGGTTCTTTGCAGCTGACTTGCCCAGTGCTATACATCTCCTAATGTCCTGACTGCTGCTTCCATTGGCATTGATTATAGAACCAAGCAATGTGAAGTCTTTGACAACCTCAATCTTTTCTCCATTTATCATGATGCTGCTTATAGGTTCAGTTGTGAGGATTTTTGTTTTCTTTATATTGAGATGCAGTCCATACTGCAGACCATATTCTTCAGTCTTCACCATATTCTTAAGTGCCTCAAGTCATCCTCACTTTCAGCAAGCAAAGTTCTGTCATCAGTGTATCACAGGTTGTTAATGATTCTTCCTCCAGACCTGATGCCACATTCTTCTTCATATAGTCCAGCTTCTTGGATTATTTGCTCAACATGCAGTTTGAATAAGTATGGTGAAAGGCTACAACCCTGATACAGTCCCTTCTTGATTTTAAACCATGCAGTGTTCCCTTATTCTGTTCGAATGACAGCCTTCTGGTCTATGTACAGGTTCCTCATGAGTATAATTAAGTGTTCTGGAATTCCCATTCTTCTCAATGTTACCAACAGTTTGTTATGATCCACATAATCAGATGCTTTTGCATAGTCAGTAAGACACAGGTTAATATCTTTCCGTTATTCTTTGCTTTGAGCCAAGATGTATCTGACATCAGCAATGATATCTTTGTTCCATGTCCTCTTCTGAATCCAGCTTGCATTTCTGGAAGTTCTCTGTCAATATACTGCTGCAACTGTTTTTGAATTATCCTCAGTAAGATTT